AATTTTTGTTAAAATGTGAAAGTAAAACGGGACAGGGCCTTTATGACATAATTTAGGGGTCCTCTACAGATTGAAATCCATGTGCATTCTTCTGATATATATATTTTTTGGGCCAATTTGGTTAATTTCACTGAGTGTAGAATATATTAATTTCACTTGAATGATAGATAATAAGAATTAATAAAAATTTATCAAATGCTATGTCTATAATTGCATTACACATCGTAATTGTGATCATGATAATAGTATAAATCTAATATAGAAATCTTATAATGATTAAAGTAATCTTTATTATGCTAACTTTTGAAATAAAAGTAAGCATTACTTTATCGATTTGCTCAAAAGTCAAAAGAGGTAAATATGAATTGTTTAAAGTTTGTTACTTTTAGTAATTAAGTTCCTCCTCTTGCATCGTAATTGTGATCATGATAATAGTATAAATCTAATATAGAAATCTTATAATGATTAAAGTAATCTTTATTATGCTAACTTTTGAAATAAAAGTAAGCATTACTTTATCGATTTGCTCAAAAGTCAAAAGAGGTAAATATGAATTGTTTAAAGTTTGTTACTTTTAGTAATTAAGTTCCTCCTCTTGTATTTTCATTAATTTGTTTGGGTCTAGTACAGCACTGCATTATGTTACATTTTAATGACATTCGTTCAGGTTTGACACTGTTTTGATTATATCAAGAATGATAATGATAAAAATAATAATGAAAATAACAACGGTGCTAAAGCGCGTATTACCACCGAAGTTTCTAGGCGCTAGAATAAAGTCAACTCCAATATTCATCTTGATTTCAGTTCAACTCTAAAGAAGTGTTCCAGCTGCCATTGTGTAAGCTACTGCAATAAATCATGTCAGGTAAAAACAAATCTTTTGTTTTGGTTCGCTCCTATATAAACCCATTGCCTATATTGAACAAGGAAAACGCTCTCGGCGGTCTTGCCTGCACTACGCAATTCGATATGATAAAAAATGGAGGTTGGGACGTAAGACAGAGGGGCCCATTAGCAGGCCCCCTCCCCCTCACAAAAAAAATGAAATCCTCTGAATATAATCAGCATTTTGAAGTGTATATTGGCTAAGAATCCTCAGAAGAATTATTTACTAAAATTTGTATCAAGATTTATAACTTTAATGGAATATGAACAAATAATAAAAATGTATTTATTAATTCTCATATTAAGTAGTGAAAACATAATCCAAGTCTACTGACCTAAATTGACCTTTGACCTGGACTTTGTGACCTAGAATTTGCGTCATCTGATTTGGGATATTTGATAACCCTTGCGTACAAGTTTCATGGAATTTGAACAAACGCTTTTGAAATTATGCTAAAAAGTCAAAATCTTGATGTTGATACCACAACAAAGTCTAAGTTTGCAGACCTTAAATTACATTTGACCTTGACTTTGCCACCTAAAAGACTAATTACATGATTGATGATACTTGATAACCCCTATGTTTAAGTTTCATGAGATATGAATGTATACTGTCAAAATTATGATAAATATTTAAAATCGTAACCTTTTGTTGAGTTTTGATGTTGATGCCACAACGTAGTCTAAGTTTGTCAACCTGAAATGACCTTTGACCTTAACTTAGTGACCTCATATTCTATACACATGATTGGGGATACTTTATAACCATTTTTTTAAATTTTCATTGAATTTTCATACTTCGAAAATAATATTAAAAATTCAAAAACTTAACCTGAGGTTAAGTTTTCGATGATGAAGCTAAAACAAAGTCCAAGTCTGTTGACCTGAAATGACCTTTGACCTTAATTTTGTGACCTGAAATTCTACTCACATGATTGAGGATGCTTGATAAACCTTTGGTTTAAGTTTAATTGAATAAGAACTTATGCTTTCAAAATTATACTAACATTTCAAATGTTGACGCCGTCACCGGAAAAGCGGCGCCTATGTTTCGCTTTTTGCTACTCAGGCGAGACAAAAATGAATGATTCCTGAATTAAGTCTATGGAAAACGAGATCGAGTCGAGAGTCAAACAAACCGTGATTCATGTATATGTGTTTAAAAGTTAAATCTTGTCTTTTTTAAATGTGTACAGATCGGTACTTTGTTTAAGAGATGGATCTATATTATTCCAAAATACTGAACCGGTGTAAATAATTGTTTTGTGTGCGAAAGCTGTTCTCATTCGAGGAGTGTGGAAGTGGTTCGCTGTCTAGTAAGGTATGCAAATATTTCGTTACTTTTTTGAGAAATGGAGGAAATCGGGAGAGGTAACTAATTAGTTGGAACATAAAGAAACCGAGGTACCAAGAATACGAATCATTAATTTTAAGAATGTTGTCTTTTAAAGATAAGTGGTTAGTGTGGGAACGAAAGTGGACATTATAGATTATTCTTAATGCACACTTCTTGGCAATTCAATGTAGCGACATTATGGTTGATTGAAATTAATGGTCATTGCAGGAACTATGCAAAAATAATCATCAGAAATAATCCATCAATCCTGATATGCCTATACTTCTACTAACAGTTAAATGAAGTGATTTTTACACATTATTATGATTTAAAAAGTATTTAAGATGTTGAGTATCTTTAAAGTGAACCGGTAACATTGTTGAAGGTTGATGAAAAAAATGCGTATTTTTTGTATTTTATATTTTCCCAAATGTTTTCTATGAAAATAAGACAAAAATCAGGCTCTTAAAAATCTGTCAACACTTAAATGTTTGGTATGGTATATAAAGCCAATTCATTTGTTTGTGACAATTTACATTCACCTAAAATTTATTCAAAATATAATGATATAGATCAGTTTTTCCAAATTTAATTGCGGTCAAGCAACACTCAAACATTTCAGATTATCTTTAATTGTACATCTAGCATTGAATTCACTACCTTAGCACCATTTTCTCTCATCTGAACAATGTTACCACGTCCCTTTAATGGCTGTTGGTAGACTCAATTAGATTGTCGTTTGGTACGGCTTACATTCTTATTTTGATGTTTGTACCCCGTGCAGAAAGGAGACTGGGCAAGATGTCACAAGCAAGACTGCAAAACACTGAAGAGAATATATCCCTTACCATATTCATACTCACTTCGGCTTCTGTCTCAAATCATCCGGAAGCAAAGACGATCCCCTCCGTGCACTCAGGATGATGAGGATTGTTTTCCAACCACCGTAGACCAGTTGGAATCCCATCATGAGAAGCTGAGTAAAACGAAAAGGGATGAATTTGAGAGCTTGTTGTTTTTGTTGAAGAATTGCGGAGAGGATGTCTTACCTGAGCCAAGCAGCTTGTTGAAGATGTATGGGGCGACCCTATGCAATGAATTCTCAATACATGATAATGATCTGAAATTCATTGCATTTGGGATATACTTGAGGTGATTTCTGTTACTATGATTGATAATTGTTTTACTGACTCTAAGAAAGAATATTTATGCTTGTAAGTAAATAACCAGGGGACCGACAGCTTTAAGTCCTCTCCAAGATATTTGGTAATGAGGATTAAAGGGCAAGTCCACTCCAATAATAACTTACATGTACTTTCAATAGAAGCAGAAAAATCAGACAAACCAATCAAAAGAAGTTTGAGCAAAATCGGATAACCAATAAGAAACTAAAAAATTTGAATTTTTAATGACATGAAAAACTTTGAAAATCACAAGACACATTGGCAACTCACTCATGAGTCTGTGACGTCATTGTCTCACTATATCCCCAAATTGTTTTCTTTATATTGATAATATAAATTTCCAATTTTCCCCCTAAAAATCTTGTTTCCTCACACCAGCATCCAAATTATATTGATAGTAGGCCTAATATGTTTCTGTGTGGATGCAATATTCTGTTAAATCGTAAAAAATGTGAATTTTAATAAACCATTTATATGAAATTGATAATTATGAATATACAGTATTCCGAAGTAGTATCTTTTTTTTAATTCGTAAAAGATTGTGAAATGTCATGCATGCAATATGATACAATTCATATAACCTGGGCAAAGGCATGGGGAAATCAGTTCTTGGGGATAAAAAAAGTGGAAATTAATGGGATAAAAATATATCAAGTAATTGATAATTAGTGAGGCAATGACGTCACAAAGTGCATAACCAATTCGGCAATTTGTCTAGTGATTTACATTTTTCCATAGTTTGTCATACTTTTTTAAGAATTCATAACTTCCTTATTAGTGATCCAATTTTCAGTCCTCAAACTTTTGTTGCTCTGTTTCTACTGTTTTTCTGCATCTATTGAAAGCAAGGTATTTTTGGAGCGGACTAAGCCTTTAATACCTTACCAAGAGGCACAAGCACATTGACCTGGTTTTGAACTTGTGACCTCTCGGTTACAATACCACTGCTCTACCACTGAGCCGTTGCGCCTCTTTTGATCTATTTCTTGGTGTATGACAAGTAATCAGGAGCACTTCCTTAAAGGATTTATCTGAAAAAAGTGATGTGTTCATTTTAGATTTCCAAAAGGGAAAACAAATGTGATAAAAGTTCCACTTTTCAGCAAGCTTTTTCATTGAAATTTAAAACTATAGGAATACAAATGTTGTTTGAATAACTGATTGTATGTTATACTTGTATGTTAAGCATGATTATATTAGCATAATATACTAGTACCTTTTCTCTCCCATTCCCATATATTTATTTTCTTGTTTGTGTAGAGGTGCCATGGTCGAGTGGTCGCCGGACTGTCGATCACAAGGTCCGCAGTTCGAGACCCGCCATGGCACTAATGTCCTTTCGCAAGACATTGATCTACATTTGCCACACTCAACCCTGGTGATGTAAATGGGTACCTGGCAGTAATTAATTCTTTGAAATGCTAGAGCGCCGTAATGGCAGCACAGCTAAAGCCAGGGTAATAATCTCCAAGTTTGGAAGCGCTTCGTTATTGTAATAAGCGCTATATAAAAACTTAATATTATTATTGTTATTTAATAAATGTGTCATTGATAATGTCTCTATTTTAACTGTTCCTGTTTTAAGGGCATCCATGGCGAACCATTCCTGTGATTATAACTGTGCAGGGGTGTTTGATGGAATGAAACTTCAACTCAGGACCATTAAAGATGTCAAAGAAGGAGAAGAGGCAAGACCACATATTTTATTCTGAAATACCACATTTTTTTTCCCACTAATGTTCTGGATATGCACGAGAGAGAAAATACCCTACATATTTATAAAGAAAAGTAATTGACTGTTGCTTTATATGGCTTCTGTCAGGATTGTTACCAACTCATTGCACCATAACATTTTCAGGATTAGTCTACCAGTGTTTATAAGATTTTATTCAGCACACCCAAATGGTTCAGTTTATATGTGGGAATCCAAAGATACAATGTATATCAGTTCTAGATTTTGCAGTAAAGGACACTTCAACTTTTATGAAGAACTGCTGTAATTCCTCTTTAGATATTTGTCACAAATTTGGAAGATCAAAATAGTCGGCATCCATAAATGTGCTGGTAAGTCTAGTCATATGAAAATGAATCGAGCAAATCTATGACCTTGAAAAACATGATTGTACATGTATTATAAAAATAACATGTGCTTTAATTACATGTATATTTTAAGATCCTAACATCTTGTTTTCATTGGTTTAGTGTACAATCAGCTATGTAGATGTCATCAACCCAGCTAAAGAGAGACAGGCTAAGCTGGAAGAGGAATATCACTTCACCTGCAAGTGTGTGAAATGCGTTGAAGAAATCAATGTGAGTCTAAACTTTATAGTTTCGTTCTTTGTTTAACTATTCTCAAATGTTGCAAAAGATCCTGCAAATAACATTCCAGTTGTGTATGGTTGGCGGTATAGGTAGTTTTTTTAAAACTAAAATCTTCGAACTTGAACTGTATTGATGGCTCGGGATAATACATTGGGTTTCATAAATGAGTGTGTACCTTTATAACCAGGGAAGTGAAAGAGAAGGAGTGGAATCAAGCCTCTTTCCTTTGATCCCATGTTCCAAGCCGCCGAAAAGAGCACATGAAATATCAGTATTTAGAATTCCTACATCAGAACATGGCATCCCAGCAACTGTTCGCTGTCCCTTTCAATGATTTCTCATCGATTGTTCAATGTGTAATGAGTAGAACAAGTGAACACAAACTTACAAGTTTATAGTTTACACTGAAATTTTGCTGGGAATTTAATATTTTGTAATAAATGTGAAACTGGTGCCTGGCCTCTGAAATTTCCCTCAGTGGAAGAGCGGCTCAGAGTATGGAACTTCAAAGCCAAGTGGAATGTTACACATCACATTGTTACGCTTTAGAACTCATGAATGCGTTTGAGTAAATTACATGAGTTTCCACTCCTTTCTGTCACCTTCCTGATTATAACTTCCAATTTTCAAAGTAGTGAAACAATGAATTGGGCAACAATAAGATCCACGTACTGCTTTACTTTCTATTATCACTCATTTATTTGTATAAATACATTTATAACTAAATTTAAGGTATTCATGGGTGTCGTGCATAAATATAACGTACACAATGTTCTTGGACGGTGCGGACTATTTCACATGACTTGTGTCGTTGATTGAATGGTCCTTTTTCGTGATTTAGTTCGGGTTTGGTACGCGAATCTTGGTTGGCTGCCTCGTTACGGGTTTGTTCTTTCGCCTGCTATGGGTGATTGTGTTTCGGTGGTTGGGTGAATGGCGTACGTTCTTTGTTGCTAGGTGAGACAAGCATTAATGCCTTTCCTGCCTGGCGGCACGAAGTGTGTGCGGTTTGCTTTCTGGCTGTCGGGATGCAGTTATTCGTGGCGGGTGGGTTGGATGGTTTTGTGGCGGGGCGCTCGTCTGGGCTTCGTGCATTGGATTCGGTTTCGTGCGTTCTTTAATTATATGCCAACAAGGTTCTGGCTCGTACATACAGCTGCTCGTACTCTGACTGTTGTCAATGTCTCCCATAATTTGTTTTAATTTGTTTAGTCTAATCACGAGTGCAAATTAGACCTTTCCGTTGGCTAAGTTTAGGACTTTTTTTTCTTTTTCTTTTTAAAAGAAAGTTTTACATATTACGTTACATGAGGTTATTTAAAAACATAAATGATATTGCATGTTTAAAGTGCGCATTAGATTGAGTTTAATCTCTATACTTTTCTTCTTTTAAATTAGATTCTCTATGTTCACAATTCATGTTATTAAAGTTATGAGAATACCAAAAGAGATAACTCGATATACTCGCATAATTAATTTGAATAGCTGTATTAATGTCCCATGGGCTACAAACACTTTGCTTTTGAGACATGCAAGTGATTATGATTATGTTGCCATTTTTACCTTTACTTATGTTTTCTTACAACACTTTTTTTTTCAGCACTAGCACAACCATGTACACAGGTTTACCTTAAGATTTTTTTGTTTTTGTTTTTTTGAGGCCGCCATCCTTGTCAAGCTTTGCTTATATTTGCGGTCTCCTGCACTTTTCCAATAGGAAAGTTCGGATAATACTTTAAATTTATGATTATATGTTATGGAAATATTAAGTTTCGTTATTATTATGTACATATATTATGTAAAAAAACATTTTGACATGAAGAAATTATTGTTTGTTTATGTTGTATTATACCTTACATTTATATGTTCTTTGTTATTCAGTTATATTTTATATGGAAAAAATGCAGAAATCAAATCAAATCAACAACAAAAAGTGAAATAATGATATCACATTCAAGTTCCCTATGCTCATGCATACATTAGCCAAGACAGTTGATACCTGCATGGATCTGTTCTCAGTAATGCACTACCAGTAGATAATAAGTGATTTCGAAAGTCCATATATAAATTGTTGCACATAAATTGCAATATATGCATTTCAGGACGAAATAATAAAAAATAAAAAAATATTTATTATTTATTCGGCACTTTCAAGAAATATAACAATAATGCAATATAATCATTGGTGATTACAGAATTAGAAAGACACAGGTCATACGAATACACATTTTTTAGCAATCTTCTGAGCGCAAAAGATGGCGGCCAGGGAAGAAGAGAGCAAACTTAATCACTGCCCGTAAAGGTCCCTCCGCCCAACCCCCTGATGCACTCAGAAGACTGGAAAAATATAGCATAAGGACAAATAAAGAGAGTAACAAATCAAGGATAAACAATAACAAAATAAAGAAAGGAGAGGAACGAGCAAATTAACGCCAAAATGGAAATTAAGTACACATATTATATAATATATTAGAAAATTCACAAATTCAATAACATAATAGCATTGTCTATCCGTAAAATTATAAGGTAACATGTTTCATGCTTTATACTGGGGTTTTCATTTACCTAATTAATTGCTATCAAGATATTACATGTATATTAAATAACTTTGAAATAGATTGTTCACATATATATATATATATATAAATATCAGAAATTGAAATTATTTTATTGAAAATTCCTTCGTCAGGTTTATACAATAAGGTCATACTGATGCACTCAGAAGACTGGTAAAAATAATAGTATACGGATAATAAAAGAGAGTACCAAATCAACGATAAACAATAAAAAATAAAAAAAGAGAAGAGAGGCACAAGCAAATTCAACGCCAATATCGAAATTAAGTACACATCGAATATTATATTGTCAAGCTAATGTTTGTTTACATTATGATTAAATGTTTTCTGTATATTTCAGGCTTCGGGTCCAGTAGATGATGGTTCAGGTGAATTAGAGCTCCAAGGTCTTAAGAAATCCTCAGAGCAAATACAGGATGCAATGGAGTCACAAGATATCCTTTTTTTTGCCATTTAAAGTTTATCTAGAAAATGACTATTTACACTGTATTACCATATAACCTGTCAATGTCAATACGTTGAAAAACCTGAAGGAATCTAGTCAATGACTGTTTTCTCATTACTTTGTTTCAGTTGTCGTTATCATAGAGTTATTAAGTCGCTTTTTAATTTGCACAATTTACATTCCTCAAATACCTTTCATTGTAATCTATTTTTCTCTCTTCAGTGCTCTCCTTTTCCCTTTTTTCTCCTTGTCTGTGTGTTTCTGTCTCTCTCTCTCTCCTCTACTCTTTCCTCTATACTCCCAACTCACTGACCCTATGTTAGTCCTCTCATTTTCTCTATATATACATTCTTCCAAGTTTTTTGTCCCCATCTCGAATAGTTTTCATTGAATAGGTTTATTCTTTCTTAATAGTGATATTTAGATTGTGCCAAAGTGTTACAGCTCTGTGGACCCTACCTGAAGCCGATGGACTCCTCTAGCAGTATTCCAGTCAATCATTATCTCCTGGTGAGGGTCAGACATAGAGCACTTATTGCATACATGGACTTACAAGAATGGGAGAAAGCTGCTGAGATTGGACAGCTGATCACAGAGCATTACAGGTAAGACTAGGTTCATTATTCTCGAGTGTAATGAAACTAGTCTCATTATACACATTACACAGAACAATTAGTGCTATTCAGATACATGATCTTTTTTCTTTCGTTAAAACAAAAAAATGAACAGACCATAAATGGTACCTTTTATAAAGCTTTTATAAATACCGACCAGACTGCGGAAGTGTGATATTTCAGCAGATCTTCGCCCTAATATAGCTTGATAACATATGGTGCTTGGCGTTTTGTGAGTAAACACTTGCAAGAATACTAAGGAATAAGATACGGGTGGATGCCATGCACTGGCAATTGTGCAAGGGGGTAATTTTCTTGGTGTGGGGGGGGGGGGGGTGATTGTCCTAGAACCCACTGTACAGTTAACAAAACCATAGTGTTATGGCTGAATTTGTATGTTATTTGATTTAGATATCACTATGGACCGTACAGTGCCAGTTGGGGGATGCACCTCCTGGTAATGGGTAAACTACTGCTCGACCTGGAGAGATTTCAAGTGGCTAGAAGATATATCACAGAGGTAACTAACTATATTTTCTAATTGATTGGACTGTCTTTGAATGTAGACTATAATATTTTGGTGGATGTTTTCATTGGTACTGAAATTTTCTTTTGGAGTTTTTCATTCAGTTGTTTTGACAACTTTCGACTTTTATTTGGATAGTGGAGTAAAAGAGTAGAATCGTGCAATTACAGTAATTGGTTCATCTTTAGGATGGTGGGTGTGTGTGTGTGTGTGTGTGTGGGGGGGGGGGGGGGGGGTTAGGGGTAGATGGTGGTGCTCCATAGGATACACAGTAAAATCCAGAATAATTTCAGGTTCCCGAACCCCATTTTTACACCCTGTTCATCTGATTCCGTGAACAATCTTTATACAGGTATTTTTGTCTGAAAAAAGGCACATAAAATCCCAATATATCATAATTAGCAAGTTCGTTTTGTACCGACATTCCGACTTGGATTCTGAACCGAGTCAGATCGAAGCCTTGATATCAATTAGACAATAGATGAACAAGTTCTCAATCTAAAAGAAAGGAATTTGATCTACTTTAATCCTAGACCGAAAATGTCTTTCTCTTTCGTTCGTTAGCACCTTATTTGGGTAGGGTCGGTTCCTCTCTTTAGAGACAAAAGCCGGCCACATGGTCTCCTGTGCGAAGTTTACTGGCACGCACAATCGTGCCAGTAAACTTTGCACTCATTTTAGCAGATTGTATATCCGATGCATTGTAATCAAGATATTCTGAGAACCTGTTAATGGATTACAATCAAACTTGAATTTTAATTTTGCTTCTGTTTTGGTAAATCGCTCTATGGCGGGGGTATAATTTTTAACTGTGCGCAATCGAACATCCATCTAGTTCTGCTTCTGATCTAGGAGGAGGTATTTATTTGTTTATTCTTAATTCATTTTTTTTTTCAGGCAAAGAGTGTTTTGGAGGTAACGCATGGCCCACAGCATTCACTGATGATGACACCGTTCGTGCAAATACTGTTCTGTAGATTTAGATAATGCATGGCTAACGTCCCCGAAGGTCACCCCTTCTGTCTTTAACTGCAGATAACACATGTCCAGCAACATGCAGTCACTAATGTCAACATGAATACAACAATTTATCTGTAGTACTAGTAGGCCTATATAGATGACACTGGAAATACTAAAGATGGAAGGACAGAATGTCAGTGAGAGTGAGATCGAAAGGAAACAACAAGAGGCAAAACAAGTTTGAGACCCTGGCATACAATCAATTCGAAATGTAGTCATCGTAGTTTGTAAATCTAGAAATTCGAACACAAGGGCCCTGTTTCATAATTTTTTTTGTTCATTAACATGTTACGATCATTGTGATACTAAGCTTCTTAAATACTTGCATTTGATTGGCTGTGAGCAGATTTATCATAGATATGTGGCAGTTGTTATTGATAACAAGTTTGGTAAAACAGGGCCCACTTCTATTAAAGGAGGTGTTATATGAAACTCATTACCTAGTACTTAGCAGAAATCAACGTCTATTTCTTTCATTTAAACACCTTTTTTAACAATTGCATTTTCATTAATGTACTAAATAACCAGTGACACCATGGATGCATATGTGTTGTGTTTAATTTCCACCAATTTAAATAAAAAATTACTTTTGTGTGCCCTAAGTATAATACGTCACCGAAATGGTATGTCGTGTCTTGTTTCCTACGAGTGTGCTGGGGGAGATTCTGATTCTAATGGTGAAATAATTAATTACATTTCTGGTGAAGTTAAATTTTGTTAATACTATTTTTCAAATCGTTGGATAACCTCATTTTGTAAATGTATACATTTATATCCATGTCTCTATTCGCTGGTTATTTCATATAATGTTATTTAATATCCCTGTAATATGTTGTCATCCTGTAAAAATATTTTTAAAGAAATAAGTATGAGAAATGGTATAATATTTTGTCGAGAAGTCGAAGAGAAAATCTGGTAGGAATTTATTCCTTGAAATGCAGCGCGCGTAACAGCTGCACTGCTAAAGCCAAGGTAATTATGTTGCATTATTGTAGAGCGCTTAGAGACTTCTAATAAAGTAAATGTTAGGCGCTATATAAGCAAATATAATTATTATTATTCTCTAACTGAAGAGATAATTGGTCCAAATTCTATTTAATAGTAATATATTGTCATGTTTGCCTTATTTCATTGATATTTTGTATGTTACCGTGTATATACAGGACCAATATGAAAAACAGCTTTGACCAACATTGTCATCCTGTATAAATATTTTTAAACAAATAAGTTTGAGAAATGGTATAATATTTTGTCGAGAAGTCGAAGAGAAAATACATTAACATGTAGTGTCATGTACATGCTTTCCTCTAACTGAAGAGATAATTGGTCCAAAGTCCATTTAATATCCCTGTAATAAACTGTTATGGTTGCCTCATTTCATTGATATTTTGTATGTGACCAATGTGAAAAACAGCTTTGGCCAACATTGTCATCATCTATAAATATTTTTGAATAAATAAGTTTCAGAAATGGTATCATATTTTGTCGAGAAGTCGAAGAGAAATTACATTTACATGTAGTGTCATGTACATGCTTTCCCCTAATTGAAGAGATAATTGGTCCAAAGTCTGACTTCGGAATACATCGTACATGTATTTGTATCCTTTTTGCAGGTATATTTTAAAATAAATTGTAATGCAACTCGAGCTAGAAACGTTTACTAAATGGAACCAACGTTAGGCAGCACTTAGTTCGAATAAATATTACCATGCCTTCATTATGTCTTTTCAAATTATTGCTTTTACTGATATAATGTCTTAATTTCCAAGGAATTTACATGTTTTGTTAATTTCGTTAGTAATGTTAGTAATGTTTGATCTTCTTGGTAATTTAAGTAATGTTAATTCGTTAAGTTATGTTAGAAATATTTTGTTTTCTTGGTAATTTGAGTAATGTTAATTAGTAACATTTATTTTTGTTTGAAGTAATTTTGATGTGTGTACATGTACAGCGCTTTGAAACTTTTGTCACAAGCGCTATATAAATTTGTCATATTATTATTATTAGTAGTAGTAGTAGTAGTTATAATACACAATAATCAAAATTCCACTTAGTATCTTTTATGTAAAGAACATTTTACTTGTACACAGACATGCTCGCATGTCTTAATAAAGAAACAGCCAACTTGAACTGTCGTGTTGGTTTTTAATTTTTAATTTTCTTTTGAGAGAGAGATGGGGGGAGGGGGAGATGGGGGGGGGGGGGAGAGAATTGAATCAGAAATTGAGAGCAAGAGATATTCAGATACAATTTTGGTATCAGAGAAATATACAATATCAATATACTTGTAAAAAAGGAAGTAGAGATGAAGAACTATAGGAAGTGGAGACTGGAGAAGGAAGAGTAGAAGTATCCAAGTATGAGAGAAGAAAAATGTTACCACATTAATACAGGTACAGTGAAAGGGAAAACGAACAAGAATGAAGATGAACGTTGATGGACACACTAACAAGTCAAACTGGCTGCATATTTAGTTTCTTTCAATACATTCGATCAATCTTGCATCAAGGGTTGTCATGTGCTCATCCCATTTTCTTTTTTATAAATTTAGATTTTTTTTTCCCAATCAGTGAAATTCCCTTTCGCATAATTTCTCACCTTTTCCTTATGCTTTTTTATCGTCACTTGCTATTCCTTTCTCACTTTCATATCTTTGGCGACTCTTCCCCCGTCATTCTTTCTCACTTATTTTTGACCCTTTCCCATTCACTCTTAATTGTTTACTATTTCTCACGTTCCTTGTCTCGGCTTTTCTATTTTTTTATAATATTGTTCACTCTTCATATTCAATTGTTTTCTGATTGATTGATTTGATTGATTTGATTTTACTTCTGCATTTTTTCCAAATAAAATATAACTGAATAACAAAGAACATAATATACATGTAAGGTATAATACAACATAAACAAACAATAATTTCTTCATGTCAAAATGTTTTTTTACATAATATATGTACATATAATAACGAAACTTATTATTTCCATAACATATTATCATAAATTTAAAGTATTATCCGAACTATTCTTTTGGAAAAGTGCAGGAGACCGCAATCATAACAAAGCTTGACAAGGATGGCGGCCTAAAAAAAAAACAAGAACAAAAAAAAATCTAAAGGTAAAACTTAAAATGAAAAATTGTTCAAACGATCTTTGTGTATGAGTTGGTGAGTGTGTTGTGCAAGTGTATATATATATATATATGGTGATGATGATTTTGATCACTCTTCTTTCACTTCCTTTATTTTCCAGTTCTGAATACATAATCAAATCAGTATACCTTTAGATATACATGGAGAAATATAAACTTATTTTAAACAGATTGGCCAGGGCTCCAAGATCACCAAAGCTTGATGCCTTGTGAACCTCGACAAGTATACAATCAAAAGACACTTTCTTTTACTCACTTTTCATGCTACTTTCTAATCTCAATCTTTTAGCCCACTTTCATGACTTCCAGTACATCCACAAGCCCATAATGAAATCAATAAATGAACATTACTTCACAAATTGTCGCTCGCATCACGACCCGTCCTCTCTGCGCATTTCCTAGCGAAAGTCAGTTTTGAAGAAAACGCGTTTAAAAGATAGGACTTTTTGAAACGGTAATTGTTAGACTTTAGAATAGATTATATTAAAAATGAATGGGACTACTTGAGAGCTTAGGTCTTAAAGTTGTATACAGTGTGTTTATATTCTCTTGAGTTGGAGGATTTTTGCTACAATATGTTTGTAAACAGAGAGGACAGTTCGTGGAAAAATAAAATCACGATACGCGATTTCACCACGAACCGTCCGCTCTACTTGCGCGCAACCTGACAGTGTACAAATTGAATGGAAGGCCCTGGTACTGCGCGCAACAGAGGACGGTTCGTGGTGCAGACAAATCCTATAATCGCTGAGCGGACGCTTTGTGATGATTACGGTATTACGTAACCAAGCGTATTCACACTCTGAAATTTTTACAGGATGTAGGTAACCATGAGTACATGCACAAAATGAGGAAAAATGGAGAAAAAATAGCAAATTTTGCTAGAGAGGACGGTTCGTGGTGAGAACGACGAAATGAAAGACTTCACTCTCTGAAATTTGTTCTTTTAGTTACAAATATAAATACTCAATTTCCAATGTTCACATAATTAGGTGGTCTGCAGCTGATCCTCAGATCACCTTTTGAATTCGTTAGAATTTGTCTTCTTTCTTTCTGTACGATTTTTGTGTTCAGATTTTCTCAAAAACGCACTATCAAATCACCATCAATTTTCACTATTAATAAACCTTGGTCAGGAATAGAAAACCACCCTCTTCTCAATGTGACCACTGCAAGCAAGCATGATATAAGACTTACTGCATTAACTACAACCATGCTTTACGATTGTTATTTTTCTTTTAAACAGCTTGATTTAATAGATCTCAAAATATCTTGGTCTAATGCATCTCCACCGTGATAAAGTACATCAGAATTTCAAAAGGCACATTAAAACGGAAGGGCAGGAAGGCACTGTTATTATTACTTATGGTTAAGTATCCATGACACATTGTTTTTCTCCAAACCTTATAACATTCCAAAGATCAGGTTAATACATCACCCCCTCAACTTCTTGTTCCAGACAGAAATTAATGGAGTTGTTACAAGTATCAGATTGAAGAATCTCATCCATGCACTGGTGTGCTTTCAGATAGAGAGTCAAGAGGATAAACTAGAATCATCATGTTCTCATAACAGCTCCATAACAATTACTCAATACACTTATTGCATGTTGTAGACTCTGGAAATCATATTTTGTTGTACTACCTACTGGATACATCTCAAAGAATGATAGTTATGATTAATCATATACCATGTGTCTAGAATACATTACACCACAAAATCGTTTCCCGTAAAAGTATTACTAAAATGTTGCTTCAATAATGAATTGGAATAAGGAGGACATGTACACACCTTGTCTGATTAGAGTTCCTCAAGACCTATGAGCTCCCAAAGCTCAATCTTGATGGTTACCTGCAATAAAATTAAAAAAACACAGACAAAATTAAAGCTGAAATGAATCCATCGCAACTCTTTATGATACAGGGCCCTCATGATTTGAAGTACCAATGACCATTTTTGCCGCTTCATTTCCTTTTGTATGTATTTATTCCTTATCTCATCTATTTCTATAAACGTGATGTACTTATTTCTCGTAATTATGTATTTTCTTGAATATTACTGTAACGCCAGTGGAAACCAAAGTTCTTTGTATCTTGTTTGCAAAGACCAAATAATATATCTCGTATCTTGTATCTCGTATGACTACATCATTCCTTAATCATCATACATTCACATGATCACATCATGTAGTGATAATGGTATTTCTCAGTTAAGTCGCGAAACGGGATTGTTGGTATCATGAAGACCATCTTGTGGCTTTCATTTGGCAGAATCGAAATCATCATTGGAATACACCACCACTTAACTATCAGTCTCTTGATCCTAATTTGAAAATTACAAAACAAATATTTTAATCTTATAATTCCATTGAATTTGTTAAAAACTTGTATATAAAAAGATATTTCATTTTTTTCGGTTTCAGTAAGGAATATGGAAAGAGAAGAACATATCCATACCTTGTCTGATAAGAGTTCCTCGAGGCCCACTAGCTCCTTATAAAGCTCAAACTTGCTGGGTTTCCTGCCATTGAAGAAGAAAAAAGATAAACACATGAAAGTTGAAATAATCTTGGCCATTTTATAAAAAGTTGGGATTGGTTTGAATCAATCGCAACTTGAATTTAATTACAACTCCTATCTCTTTAGTACACAGTTTCGATTAATTGTTGATTGATATAAAGGGCCCTGATGACTAAATCATTCCTTCTTCATCATCATACATTCACACAGGGGCGTACGCAGGATTTTTTTCGAGGGGGGGGGGGTTATAATCGAAAATCGCGCCGAAAATTTCCCAACGACTCAGCCAGCCGTTGAATAAGCGGGGGGGGGGGGGGGGGGGGGTAAGAGCACCTCTTTTAGGGGGGGGGGGGTCCAGGATTTGATGAATAACTAGAATTTGTTTCTAGTAAAAGCCACATTCATGACTAGTTAATAGGGCACAGAGTACAACAAGATGATACATAAAAATGGCTGAAGAAACCAAAAGCTTTGTCATGTGAAGGGGGTATTGTATGAATTAGGGGGTGTTGTAATCAGTGGGCAAAGCATCACATCATAATGTTGCAAGGTCTCTGGGTAATTTAAAGGCTGTATATATGCATACATCAGTAATAATGTTTCGATATAGCTACATACTCTTCTTTTACCTTTGGCTTGTGTCAGAACAGCATGTCCATGCCTAAAATGTTATGCTATCCAAGAATAATTTGTGAGTGGGAATTCCCACCCCTAGGCGGAAAAAAAATCATACTCATTTAACTTGTTATAACGAGAGGGATTGCTGAGATGTGCGTGGGTGAACGGTTCAGTGACAGCGGAAAGATCACAAGTACAATTAAGGTTAAACATAATACTTCCTGTTATGAATGTCAGTTGAAGGTCCCACTCGATTTAACATACTCATACAACTTGTTATAACGAGAGTGATTGCTGAGATGCACGTGGGTGAACGGACCGGTTCGGTTATAGCGGAAGGATCACCGTAGTGATTAAAGGTTAAACATAATACTTCCTGTTATGAATGTCAGTGGAAATTCCCACTGGACAATAAAAAAAAATGAAAAAACTCAAACAACTGCATAGCTTAATGAAACGTTATCATTCGCCTCTTATTGAAAGTGTAGCCTCGTGCCTGTTTGAGCTGAGAAGAGCAATTTCATAAGTTTACACTTATAATGGCGGAGTCTGCTATGCCTATGCAATGTGTGCGTGTCGTAACATCAGCTACTTGTGGGCGAGGTTTGGTCTTCACTTCAAATTTTGCGAGGGGACGATGTATCCTTGAAGAATTGCCATATGTATATACACTGTTCGACAACAAAAGGGGACACTACTGTGATTTTTGCCTCCAAAAATGGTATAGATTTTTAATTTTTTGTTATAATGTGATAATAAGAAGTGATAGGGTCTTCATGGCTTATTTTAGGGGTCCTATATAATATTGAAATCCATGTGCTTTCTTTTCATATACTTTTTTTCTTTCTTGGCCAATTAGCACGGGTTAAATCCACTGAGTGTAGAATATCATTCATTTAACTTTAATGACAATATGATATTAAGAATAAATAATATTTATTAAATGCTATGTCTATGATTGAATTAAACATCGTAATTATTATCATGATAATAATATAGATCTAATATAGAAGTCTAATAATGATTAAATTAATCATCATTATGCTGACTTAAAAAATAAAAGTTAGCATTACTTTATCAATATCCACAAAACTCAAAAGAGGTAAACATGAATCGATTAAAGTTTGTAACTTTTAATAAAAATTCTACTCTTGTTTTTTTTTCATTTAATGTATTTGTTTGGACCTAGTAAAATACTGCATTATGTTACATTCTAATGACATTTGTTAAGGTTTGAAACTGTTTTGAATATTTCAAGAATGATATTATTACCACCGAAGTCTCTAAGCGCTAGATTCAAGTCAACTCTAATATTCATCTTACTTTCAGTTCAACTCTAAAGAAGTGTTCCAGTTGCAATTATGTAAGCTACTGCAATAAATCATGTCAGGTAAAAACAAATCTTTTGTTTTGGTTCCCTCCAACATAAACCCATTACCTATATCAGAAATGAATGATTCCTGAATTAAGTCTATGGAATATTAGAATCTAACCAGTCAGTGTCCCAGTGAAATATGTCCATTTCTGGGAAAATATTCAGATTTTTTTTTTGTTAAGGTGCTCAGCATTGATTAATATAAAGTTTACGGAGTTTGGGGCTATGTTATATTTAGTATAGTTGGCCATTAGAAACAGAATGGTTTAATTTCACATAAGAAACAATGATTACAGAATTATCAAAAAAAAACTTCTGTCTATCTGGTGACAGACAACTAAACTAAAAGTATCACTAGGCCCTTGGTAGTTACTATCAATAATCAAACATAGATAACTTCCAAAAGCACATTAATGTACACTGTAAAAAAATAATAGTCGAAATAACCCAATAAAATTGAGGAAAAGAATTGCCTTATTTTTATTAAGTAAATATTACCTACGGCATCTAAAGTAGAATTTTACTTATTTTGCTGAATAAATTTTTGCTCAGTTAAATCGAGTTACATTAACGTAAATAATTTAAGTATTGTAATCATTTTAGATAATTAAAAAAAAGCTATGATAGGATTACATATTGCACGATTTGGTACCCATCTAATCTAACAAGTAACATCCACTAATCATTCACTACTTCTATTTAAGATTAATCACATATCACTAACACTACTTCTATTTAAGACTGAGGTACTACATATCACCTCGCAGTTTAGAAGTTCTTGCAGTCTGCCGTGCTTGGATGCTGCTGGCGTTGAAATCGTACCTTCAAAAGTAGTTCGTAACCTCGGCGTCACTGTTGATAATGTATTGAATATGAAGCAACACATCAGGAATACTTGTCGGACGGCTGCCTTTGGTATATCCAGGATTAGTAAACTTCGAAAATATTTGGACAGACAGTCTACAGAACGATTGATCCACGCTTTTGTGACTTCCCATTTAGATTATTGTAACGGATTGTACTTTGGCTTTATAGATTCCACCATTTCTCCACTCCAACGTATTCAGAACATGGCAGCCCGTCTTATTACCAAAACCAGAAAATATGAACACATAACTCCTATTCTCAGATCTCTTCATTGGCTACCTATTTTAACTCGCATTCAATTTAAGCTTCTTTTGTTAGTATTCAAAATTAATCATGGTTATGCTCCATCATATTTAAACGACCTTCTCAAACCTATTGTTCCATCACGTTCATTACGGTCAACTACACATGCTAATTTCCAATACGCCCCTGGTCCCCGAACAAATACCCGTTACGGAGATCGTACTTTTGCCATTGCAGCCCCCAAATTATGGAACAGTTTACCTATTATTATTCGTCAATCCCCATCTGTAGAGTCTTTTAAGGCAAGTTTGAAGTATTTTTTGTTTATCAGTAATAGTAATTTATAGGGCAGTTTAATTATCTGTGATGTTATTATTAGAATTATGTATTATTATTGCTGTATGTTTATTTTACGTTGTACCTAATTACTTGTATGTTAAGCGCTTAGAAACATTGTATTAAGCGCTTTATAAATGTAATTTATTATTATTATTATTTAAGATTTAACCGTATATATATATATATATATCTACCACCATCACAAACTATTACATACGCTTCAATTCGACACATATTGAAAGGCTCCAAATTTTATATATACTTGATCGTAGCATCTTAAAAGAAAAATTGGTTGACAATTTCCTGAAATATCAAGTTTTTATTTGTTTTGAACTGGGTAACAATTAAAAATTGTTTTGTCTTTGCTTAGTCATGTTAAATGAATTAGTAAATGTTTTAAAGTCCTTAAATTTTCATTCAACCACAAAAAAAATTGTTTTATTTAAAAAAGAGTTTAATTTGGTCTTAATGAATATTCATAAATTATGTAAATATTTCTATTACGCACTGCATCGGTCCTTACTTTAAAAAGATAAGAATAATCAACATAAATTTTTGAGTAATACGTATAATTTCTGATTTTGAGTTAAAATTACTAAATTAATACAAGCTGAAATTACTTAAAGTTCTTATGTATTTGATTTTACTTAAATATTCCACGTATGTTCTACTAAATTGAAAGTTTGAGTTAGCAAGAATTAAATTTAGTGCGTAAGTGGCAAAACTAATGTTTTCTAGTAAATTCTACATGGAAAAAATACGTAAAAATTACCAATGAACAAATTCTTTTTTACAGTGTAAAGGAGACTCAACTTAGTCACTAGACTATGGTTAATGATTATCGCTCAATACATGTCTCAAACTATCAGGAGTCCTGTGCAGTACAACTTAAGACAGTACTAAAACAGAGTCAGTTAAATATCATTCACTGGATGAATAATAACAGTCAAGAAAATACTACTCAAATCTAAGCTAGACAGCGTTTAGATTTACTTACATAGGCACGAAATATTGTGGTTAAAAAAAAAAACACTAAATAAATCTCTACTTGTGTATGTGTACGGAATGCACAACACGAGAATACAACAATATATCGGTGGATCTAAACTAGGCCTATAGTATAGCAGATCTAGTTCAGTAGACCAGGCCTAGACCTAGAACATGTAAATAGATCTAGACCCTATGTGTTAAGCGTAGAGTCTACGAAAATCAACAACAGGCACTCAGTCAGTCAAAATAACCACAATGATAAACAATGCAAAGCATAAATCACAATATAATTAACGTTAAGTGAGTCATGGGAGTTGAATTTAGAGTAGACCTTATTCAAGTTCTAGATGTAGAAACTAGCTCGTCGAAAACGGTGGTCGATGAGCTGGTGGTCGATCGCGTTGAAAATGCAGACGATGATCCACGCTAGATGAATATAGGCCTACAGCGATGATGAAGATAACGATGATGAAGACGATGACTACGGTGATGAAGACAACGATGGTGCAGACGATGATGAAGATAACGATGATGAAGACAACGATGATGAAAACAGCGATGATGAAAACAGCGATGATGAAGACGATGACGTTGGTGAAGACGGTCTCGTTGATGATGGTGATGAGACAGTCAATCGAATACAATAAAGATGCAGTCGAGGTCAATAGATCAACTTGCGATGCAGGTCAAATAATCAAAATGTCAAGACAATATATATCATAAGAAGTCGATGATAAAAGGTTGTGAAACAATAATGCAGGTGAGAAAAACGTTAGATAAAAAATGTTCTATTCTCACTGCACGGCGAATTAATGTGTCGTCAATGCAGAACACAAAGAGTCAAAATATATCTTGCAAAAAGTACAAGATGTAAATAGGTGAGCACGTCCACCGGGAATGGTCCGGGGACGAAGTAGTTCCATCCTCGTTGGATAACAATTTGACAAGTACAATAATCAACACAATAACAGCATGTGTGTATACCGATATTAAAAAGCTCACTGATTCCCGCATGAGCACAGGAAAATCAGAAGAGCGCCAATCACAGCGCGATTGGTTCAAAACACGCGCACATGTATGTTAATTAATCACGTGATCTAAAAACTTATGAATAAATACGCGTACATCTATGTTAATTAATCATGTGATCAAAATGCTTATGAATAACATCTTTAAGTAATAAATCCAGTTGGAACCAGTTCCGAAGGCATGGCGTAATACCAAAATCCTCGAACTCTGTATGACTTCTCAGGCAGCCATTTTGGATCGAAAATGCAATTACCAGTGAAATATAAATGAAGGCACTGTAACATTAGTCGCTACACATTCTTATTTTGATGTTTGTACCCCGTGCAGCGAGGAGACTGGGCAAGATGTCACAAGCAAGACTGCAAAACACTGAAGAGAAGACATCCCATGATACCTCCAGACTTAGCTGAGTCAGTTCAGCTTCTATCTCATATTATCCAGAAGCAAAGACGATCCCCTCCATGCACTCAGGATGATGAGGATTGTTTTCCAACCACCGTAGACCAGTTGGAATCCCATCATGAGAAGCTGAGCGGTCAGATACGAAGGGATGCATTTGAGATATGGCTGTCTTTGTTGAAGGATTGCGAAGATGGTATCTTACCTGAGCTAAGCAGCTGGTTGAAGATGTTTGGGGCGACTATCTGCAATTCCATCTCAGTATGTGATAATGATCTGATTGACATTGCAGTTGGGATATACTTGAGGTGATTTCTGTTATTATAATGATTGATAATTGTTTTACCTGACTCTAAGACAAGTTTGAGCAAAATCGGAACGATAGTAATAAGAAACTAAAAAGTTTATGAATTTTTAATGACATGAAAAACTTTAAAAATCACAAGACAAATTGGCAACTCACTCATGAGTCTGTGACGTCATTGCCTCACTATCCACTATTGTTTTCTTTATATTGATAATATAAATCTCCGGTTTCCCCCCTAAAAATATTATTTACTCACACCAGCACCCAAGTTATATTGATAGTAGGCCTAGTATGTTTTTATGTGGATGCACTAATTTAGAGTAATTGTTTGTATTCTGTTTAATCGTAAAAAATATGAATTTTAATAAACTATTTATATGAAAATTAATAATTATGAATAAACAGTATTCCGAAAATAGTCTCGAAATTCGTAAAGGATTGTGAAATGTCATGGATGCAATATATGATACAAATTATATAACCTGGGCAAAAACATGGGGAAATCATTTCTTGGGGATAACTTCGTAACCTCGGCGTCACTGTTGATAATGTACTGAACATGAAACAACATATCAGGAATACTTGTCGGACGGCTGCTTTTGGTATCTCCAGAATTAGTAAACTTCGAAAATATTTGGACAGACAGTCTACACAACGATTGATCCACGCTTTTGTGACTTCTCATTTAGATTATTGTAACGGATTGTACTTTGGCTTACCGAATTCCACCATTTCTCCACTGCAACGTATTCAGAACATGACAGCCCGTCTCATTACCCAAACCAGAAAATACGAACACATAACTCCTAATCTTAGATCTGTTCATTGGCTACCTATTTTAACTCGTTTTCAGTTTAAGATTCTTTTGTTGGCATTCAAAATTAAACATGGGTATGCTCCATCATATTTAAACAACCTTCTCAAACCTATTGTTCCATCACGTTCATTACGGTCAACTACACATGCTAATTCCCGATACGCCCCTGGTCCCCGAACCAATACCTGTAACGGTGATCGTACTTTTGCTGTTGCAGTACCTAAATTATGGAATAGTTTACCATTTAGTATCCGCCAATCCCTATCTGTAGAGTCTTTTAGGGAAAGTTTGAAGTATTTTTTGTTTAATAGTAATTTATAGGGCAGTTTTGTTTTAAGTAAGTCTTTAATTATCTGTTATGTTATTATTATAATTATGTATTATTATTGATGTATGTTTATGTTACGTTGTACCTTGTTTTGTTAAGCGCTTGAAAACATTGTATTAAGCGCTTTAAATGTAATTTTAAGATGGGATGTATATAATACAGAACACCTAATGTTTTAGTTAGATTATTTTTCGTATTTCTAACCAATTTTTTGTTAGCAGGATAACTTGAACATGGCTCAATCAAATGCCTTGACATTTTGCACACATTGTGTATAGGCATATGGACAAAGCACAATAAGGTTTTCAACCTTGACCATGAGTGATGACGTCATCTAGGCGCCATTTTGTGATATTTTTTTTCTTCTTCTGAAAATCAACTCATGATCATATCTTCATAAACGGAAAGTCCTTTCTCATTCATATTTATCATAATCAAGTTCAATATCCGTCCGGTCAATTCCAGGTCAAAAAACGCGCTCGTACGCCATTATAAGAATTGGCATTTTATTTTTGCGCGCGCGCTTTCGTTCGTCACGGCCGAAAGCAAAATAATTCCTCCTTTATTTGTTTTGACACGATATTTCTCATTTTTTCCCAAACAATTTGATACCATGTTTATTTCTTTATGACCATTATTAAGGGAATGAGCGTCCATTCAAGTTAAATGTCCCTGCGCGCGAGCTCTTGTAATACATAACATATAAATTATGTGCAAAAACATGGCTATACAAAATCTATTTTAGCTCTTATGGATGCCCTGGAATCCTCAATTTGTTCTTATATTTGGATAAAATATGAGTCGGAGATATGATTTCATGTCTCATTTGGCCGTTAAGTAAATCGTGACCTCATCACATTGACCTTGGAACTCAAAATACGAATTTGCTCATTATGACGTCAGCATATTTATGGAAAATTGATTGTATCTCTTTAAATATTGAACAATTTTCTTCCTAATGTTGATATGTTATTGCTAGGAAAATCTTCTCCAAGATCAGTACACGTTATTTTTTATTTTGATGACGTCATCATAGTGAAAATTGCGATTATTTAAAAGGTATCATGACAGAATGGTCTTAATTTGCGTGTTAGGCCCCAGGGAACGTGAATTTCGTTCAAATCATGAATCTACATGACATTAATCTTTGAGCACTATCAAGCATATTTGGGCGCTATGTTCTCCCAAATTTAGGTATATTATAGCTGAGACTATGAGCTATAGAAACAGTGGCTTTTGTTTTTTAATCAGATGTTGGGATCGACATTTTCAATCGAAAGTTGTAATTGCGGCCATGCCAAGGCCGTCTTTGCATGCAAAGTCTATCAGAAATATTTTGGTCTATTGGTTAAAGATACTATGTCCCTTCTGCAGCCAACATCGAATTATATCGAACTTTGCAGGAATTATGAATATGCCATGTATGTCCTATCTGTAAAATTTAAACGTTAGCGGTGTCCTAATATTCAAAGTATGCAAAGGAAACCCGTTTACTTGCTAGACTTCATTGTTAGACACTATGAAGTGACTGAATGGCTTTTTTTCTTCTTTGGTAATAACATACATAAAATGAGCTGTAAAGGGTACATGATCCTTTGTCTATATCAATAACCCACTATTTGTAATGGCCAAAATTAAACTGATTGAATCTTTGCGCAGTTCAAAACGTACGACCATTCGGTACAATGGTCTGAAAATCAGACTCTTTCTTTTTGACTTGGTAGCACCTAAGTCGTAGTCGTTATTTTCCAACTTAAAGACATTTTCAAGCCCCCATTTTTTATTAGGAAAGTTCTAAATTAGTTTTATCTTTCACATGCCGTTGGAATTTTACCTTTTTTGGTTTTCTTTGTTGGCCTACAAATAGGACAAATACCTTTAAAGCACTATCGATAATGTCAACCAATTCTAAACAACCATAATTTTCATCGTTTTGATTGTATGTTGTACTTGTAAGTTAAGCATGATTTCATTAGCATAATAAACTATTACATTTTCTCTTCCCAATCCCATACATTAATTATTTTGTGTGTGTAAATAAATGTGTCATTATTATTTCTCTGTTTTAACTGTTCCTGTTTTTAAGAGCATCTATGTTGAACCATTCCTGTGATCCTAACTGTGCATGGGTGTGTGATGGGAGAAAACTTCAAATCATGACTGTTAAAGATGTCAAAGAAGGAGATGAGGTGAGACCACATATTTTATTCTCAAATACCTCATTTATTTAATTTTCTATGTTCTGGATATGCACATGAGAGGAAATACCCTGAATATTTTTAAAGAAATGTCATTGACTGTTTTTCTGATGTTGTGTAAAATAACCAATTCAGGTCTTCTTTATTTTTTCATAATGATATAAACATATCCACATTTTTATCATTTACCTCCATTTCTGGAGAGATATACATGGTTTTCTAATATTTTCTTATATTTGTAAACGATAATTTAATAGGTAAATAAAAATATGAAGAAGGATCTTTTTTGTTGTTTTCTTTTAAAATTCTTTTCCAACAAAGCTTTGCTAAACAGTAGAAAGTGGATTATTCAAAATAATATCAATATCTTTTTCCTTCTTTGAATTAAAATCAATACCAAACAATAGATGACATGGTTTGACATTAAAATTAGACATGAAATATTTCTTTATATTCCTTTCAACTTCATGCTAAAACATATTGACTTAATTAACTGGTAGAAAACCTTTCCCATCCATTAAATCCCAAACAAACAAAATGTCAGAATGTATCCAATTCCTATAAAAAAGCATTTTCCTTTTATACGTTACATTTTTATTCAGCCGAATTATTTCTCTACAATAGCTGTCAAAAGTACATGATCGAACCTTTTTTGGGTAGTAACAGCTTTTATACAAGAAAAGGATCAAAATTAAATTATAGTAGAAATGAGGCATCTTGTTTTCCAGAAAACTTGCGTTTTTTGTATTATATTTACAATTCATTAAAACCTTTATACCACCAATTTGCTCAAACCAATAGTCAAACACACATTTGCAACCTGCATTTAATTCATCGCTTAGATATTTACAAAACCAATTTATATTTAACGATGCAACCTTTGTTTGAACATTCAACATATCTAAACCACCTTCTTGAGTACTATTTAATACATTTATCCTTTTAACCTTTGTAATAAAAATTAAAAATGAACTTATCGAGCTCCTTAATTATCTCTTTAGGACAAGACAAGACTTGTGATGTATAAATGATTTACGACATTATCAATTATTTTAATATCATTATTTTCCCTTTAAGCGTGAGATTTCTCTGTTTCCAAAGATTTAACAGTTGTTTTATTTGTAATATTCTCTCTTCAGACCAGTTCATTTTAAAGCCTATATCTTTATTTTTTACAAAAATAAATACCGAGTGACTTAACATAAACATCTTCCCATAACATATTTCCGATAGTATTTGATGGATTGTTGGTTCCCAACCAGAGGGCTTTTGTCTTGTTTTCATTTAATTGGATTCTAGAATACTTTTCAATTTTTTAAATAATCTTTATAGCTGTATTACCTGACATAACTGTACAAACAAATAATGTCATGTCATCTGCTAACTGTAATATTTTTAATGTTTTCTCATTACAACCAACACTCAAGCCTAATATATCGTTGTTTGTCTAATCTCATTTGCAAGAGCTTCAATGCTAAGGATAAATAATACTGCAGATATGGGACACCCCTGTCTTATACCTCTAGATGGTTTTTGTATCTTTTGTTACCAACCGTTCATTAGGGTATGTATATCAGTTCTATATTTTGCAGTGAAGGACGCTTCAACTGTTATGAAGAACTGATGTTTATTCTTTAGATTCTTTAGATATTCGTCACAACTGGAAGATATCACAATGGTCAACATTCATCAATTTGCTGGTAAGTCTGGTCATATGAAAAAGAATCAAGCAAATCTATGACCTTGAAAACATGATTGGTCTTTACTTGTACATGCACTATAAGAATAACATGTGCTTATAATTTAAGATCCTTACAACCGGTTTTCGTTTGGTTTTAGTGTACAATCAGCTATGTAGATGCCATGAAACCAGCTAAAGTGAGACAGGCTGATCTGAAAGAGAGCTATCATTTCACCTGCAAGTGTGTGAAATGCATCGAAGAAATCAATGTGAGTCTTTACTTTACAGTTTCATCCTTTGTTTTACTCTTCTCAAATGCTGCAAAATAGCCTGAAAATAACATGCAAGTTGTATACCGGTAGGTAGTTTTCTTTTAAACTACATGTACTCGATATCTTTGAACTTGAATTGTATTGATGATCTCAAGATAAGGTCTGCGGTTTCATTAATGATTGTGCACCATTATAACTTCCAATGTTCAAAGTAGTGAACAATAATACGATCTACGCGCTACTTTACTTTCTATTTAAACTCAAATATGAAATAATGATATAACTCTCAAGTAACTTATGTTTATGCATGCATGCATTAGCCAAGGCAGTCGATACCTGCATGGATCTATCCTCAGTAATGCACTAGATAATAAGTGATTTTCAAAGTCCATATAGAAATTGTTTTACATATAAACTTGCAATATATGCATTTTAGTGCAAAATAAAAATGTTCTTATTATCAAGCTTATCTTGTTTACATTCTGATAAAATATTTTCTGTATATTTCAGGCATTGGGGCCAGATGATGGTTTAGGTGAAGAGCTCAGAGGTCTGAAGAAATCCTTGGAGCGAATAAAGGATGCAGAGAAGGCACAAGATATCCTTTGTTGACATATAAATTTTTTAAAATATACAATGACTATAATTACCTGTCAATAAGTTGAAATACTAGGAATGAAGTCAATAATTGTTTTTACCTTTTGTGTTTGGTTCATTTGTCGTTATCATAGAGTTATTAGGACGCTTTTTTATTTGCACAAATCACATTCTACAAATACATTGCGTTGTAATCTATTTTTCTCTTTTGCTCTCCTTTTCCCCCTTTTCTACTCATCTCTGTCTATCTCTCTCTCTCTCTCATTTACCCTTTAGTTTCCTCTATGCTCCAAACTCACTGACCCCATGTTAGTCCTCTCAGTTTCTTAGCTTTTTGTCCCCATCTCGATCAATGTTCATTGTATGGGTTTATTCTTTCTTAATTGTGATATTTACATTGGGCGAAAGTGTTGCAGCTGTGTGCACCCTACTTGAAGCCGATGGACTACTCTAGCAATATTCCAGCCAATCATCATCTCCTGTACCAGGTCAGAAATGCGGCATTTCTAGCATGCATCGACTCACAAGCATGGCAGAAAGCTGTTGAGACTGGACAGCTGAACATAGAGCCTAACAGGTAAGACTATGTTCATTATACTCATTATACACATTACACAGAACAGGGGGCGCGATAGCTCAGTTGGTAGAGCAGTGGTCTCGTAATCCGGTGATCCGCGTTCGAAACCATTAATTTTCACTACTAGGTCCCCTCGGAGAGGGACCTAAAACCGTCGGCCGTCTGGTTGCTCACTTACAAGTATTTATGCTTTCTTAGCGGTCAGGTAAAATAACCATCACATTTATAGAACAATTAGTGATTAGTGACATTCAGATATATGAATTATCTTTTTTTTTGTTTAAAGGTAATACAAAGTTTTGTGAATTTGTGAAAATTGGGTGGATAGTCATTCTATACAATGTTGATATATTTGGATGCCCCTTTGGATGTATTATAAGCACTATAAAATTTAGCCCCTAAAATACTTCTGCTTTCGAGATAAATTGAATATAAAAATTTACCGGTGCTCCCGGTAAATTTTGATGAATATCAAAAAGCGCCTACAGCCGTACAAATGGTAGCTGCGACCATGAAAATCTCATAATATGTAGTTGTGGTATATAATTTCCAAACGGGAATAGCTAATCGGTCGATTTTAGTCGAGAAAAATTGTTTTATAGCTTAATTAATATCTTGACCTTGAGAGGGAGCTTTACAATATAAAGTGTTTATTATGTTAGTTTCATAACTTCAGACTCGATTTCAACCGCGACAACGATCGCTGAATAATGTAAGATCGCATATATGCTTCCAATATGTCCATTTGAACCAAATTCATGACTTCATACCAAAACTTTGTAATACCTTTAAGATAATGAACAGACCTTAAATGGTATATTGATTAAGCCGTTATAAACACTGATCAGGCTGAGGAAGTGTGATATTATCAGCAGATCTTCCCCCTAATATGGCTTGTTAGCACATGGCGCTTGGCGTTTTGGGGGGTAATCTTGCAAGAATACTAAGGATTAAGATATGGGTGGATGCCATGCATAAATTTATAATTGCATGTGCAAGGGGGTTGTTGTTCTTGAGGGGTAATTGTCCAGGGGTTAATTGTCATAGGACCCACTGTACATTTTGCAAAACCGTAGTTTTATGCCTGAATTTGACTGTTATTTGATTTAGATATCTCTATAAAGGACCGTACAGTGCCTCTCTAGGGATTTACCTCCTGAGAATGACTAGAATACTACTTGAGCTGGGGAGACTTGAAGATGCTAAAAAATATCTCACAGAGGTAACTATTCTTTTTTATGAATTGATGGGACGTTATATAGACTACAATAGTGGGTGTTTAAAAAAAATTTACTGAACTTTTATCAATTTATTTTTAATTCTGCTCTTTTGACAACATTTGACATTAGTATCTGAGTAGAACTGTAGAATTGTGCGGTTATTAAAGTTTACCTTTAATAAGTGCGGGCATTATTCCATCTTCAAGGATGGTGCATGGATTGGGGGTGGGGGGGGGGGGGTAGACGATGGTAATTAAATGCGACTATACGATACACAGTGAAATCCAGAATCATCTGAGGTACGTAACCTCACCCAATCCCGTTCGACCACTCTGTTTCATTAGTGAAAAAGCTTCATATTGCTCCGTTTAGTCTCATTTCACAACGCCCCCTATCGTCAGAGTCAGCAGCCTAACATGTTAGCCTATGGACGTTTTTTTTTTTTAAATCGTTAAAAATCCATTTTTTGTTTAAACGAAAGGCACATTCACCCCGACGTACGTTATCACTAGCTCTTTCATTGGAGCCCACATGTCTCATTGACTTTTGAAAGTTCACCCACCGTAATTTTTCAAAATAGGTTGCAAGCTCGCCATTGCCTATAATACACACGTGAAACAAGTCGAACTTTGGACTCAGTCTGCCAAGCGATTTTAAGATTATATATCAAGCACACGAAGGATAAGAAGCATGAATTATCAATTATCACTTCTGCTTTGTTCATTATTTCCATTTCATCTACCCCCCCCCCCCACCGTAATTTTTCCATTTAGTAAAAGCAAACATTTAGCCGAGGTAAGCAAAAACATGAATATTCATGACACACCATGGACTATTCGGTTATTAACAGAGGGGTGCCATCAGTCATCACGTCAAACTCCCCTCATTGCCACCAAGTATTTCATATCATTATATAGTTTGGTATGTTTCTTTTACTCACTCATTAATTATTAAATATCAATGATGGTTTAAAGATATGTAAAAGAAATTTTAGTTGATATTTATTAACAAAGTAATTTATATTTAGCAAAGCAATCTCACGTACAAAATTACTATCAAGTGTCGTCTGCTACGCCGATTGTCGCCTGCTTCGTTTAAGGCACATATTTATCGTTTGGACTGTAAGGTATACGAGGGAGATTTGTATTTTCCTGCGGTACAACGTATAGCAGGAAAATGTTGTATATGCAGATCCTTTTAATGATTACGTAATGGAAGTGGCGAGACGCCACAATTCCGTATGGTTTGAATAACTTAGGCAGGTGAAAGTTATTGTATTGAGAAGGAAAGAAATGTTCACACCCGACGGCGCGGTGGCCTGTACTTATAGCGAAGAAGAAGAATAATTTATAATTCGCACCATTGCGCGCGAACACATCACACCCAATGGCATACACCCGGTACCCTGCAACACAGTGGAACATTCTAAGAAATTGAAAATTTATCTACAAAATAGACCTCTTGAATCATCTGAGACGTAAATTGGCCTTTTCTGATGACTTCAATGAATTTCAAGATAACAATGGCTGCGTTTCCATCCAAAAATGAAACTAGTTTGCAATTAGAAATAGTCCATTTCTCGATAATTTCACAAAATATATTTGCCGCCGCATTCAATATGACGTCATTGACAGCTGATTGGCTAGTTTGGTAGTGACGTCGAATGAGCTATGTTTGTGCTGCAGTGATCCAGCGAGCGAAAATGAGACAATCGGAGCAATATGTTATACCTATACATGTAGTTGTTTGGGCTGAAAAAGTATCATAACCCCCAGTATATACATCAAAAGCAAGTGTGTTGCTAACTGGACATTCGTATTCAGATTCTGACCGAGTCATTCGCCTTAAAGGTAAAGACCGATTATGGTCATGCGATTGCATTGTGAAAGAAACGTTGTGGAATCGATCAGAAAAGGTTGATCATCTAGCATCTAGCATCTGCAAGGTTCTGGAATCATCAAATTTGGCCCATTCTTCGTAAAGTTACAAGCACTATACACAGAAAGATGTATATGGGACTACCCTATATCTCTCACAGACCATGAGAGAAACAAATTTACCAAATATATGAATTAGTAGGCGGTTTCCCGGCAAATTTTTTATCATGTATTAGTCAAAACATATTCTTTTACATGATTGGTAATGAGAGCTTTCATTTCATTTTTTGAAATTGGGGCGTTTCCAATACTGGTCTTTACCTTTAATATAATTTAGCAAGGACAAAAGATGAATAATTTATCAATCAATAAGGAATGAATTTGATCTACTTTAATCCATAAAGACAGAGGAAGTGACCTTGCTGGCATGCTAGGAGCATGTATGATAAAGTAGATCAATACAGGTGTATTTTCTTTTCATCGCATCGAACCAATAAACGTATCCCTTTATGTCATCCATTTGATTGAAAAATTGTTTTTCTCTCATATTTTTGATTGACTCGTTCCTGCTCGTTCTCTCGCTATCTCTCTCTCTCTCTCTCTTTCTCACTCTTTAAACCCTCGTTGAACTTTTCCTGAATTTTTCTGCTTCTGATCTAGGATGGTGCCAAATATGTCTGTTATTTTTTTAAAAATAAATATTAATTATTTTGTTTTTTCAGACAAAGAGTGTTTTGGAGGTAACGCATGGCCCAAAGCATTCACTGATGTTAGAAGTGCAAGAACTGTTCTTGTTCCTGGAAATACTAAGACATAAGGACAGAGCAACAGAGAGAAAGATCGAAATGAAACAACAAGAGACATAAGTTTGAGAAGCTGGCATACAATCCATCCGAAATGTAGTCATCGTAGTTTGTAAATCTAGAAATTTGAACACCCTGTTTCATAAAACTTTTTGTTCATCAACATGTTACGATCATTGTGATACTAAGCTTCTTAAATACTTGCATTTGATTGACTGTGAGCAGATTTACCATACATATGTGGCAGTTGTTATTGATAACAAGTTTGGTAAAACAGGGCCCACTTCTATTAAAGGAGGTGTTATATGGAACTCATTACCTGGTACTTTGCAGATTTCAACGTCTATTTCTTTCATTTAAACACCTTTATAAACAATTGCATTTTCATTAATGTACTAAATCACCAGTGACGCCATATGGATGTATATGTGTTGTGTTTATTTTCTACCCATTTGAATAAAATTTACTTTTGTGTGCCCTAAGTATAATACTAGGGTGATCACACTACCTGTACACACAGTCTGCCCCATGCACACACACACACGCACACGCAAATACACACACACACACACACACACACAACAGCAGTCAGTTGGTAGAAATAGCAATTTTCGTAAATTTATTTTAAACAAAACTGAACAATATTTTTCACATATCTTTCAAGCATACCTTTGACTACAATTCTGTGTAGTTTTATTGTTATAGGCATGTGGGAAATATGTAAAATTATTAATTAGAATATTGTCTTTTCAGCCATGTGTGACATGGCCCGCTGATCGTCCATTGACTGTTATTCTGCGTGGTGAAAATGCACCTCAATGTATAAAACTCCCCTACAAAAATGTAATATTCGCATGTGTTTCACTCATTAAATCAATTTGTTGTTTACACTCAAGGTAGCCGCAACTGTACTGCATGGGGTCATTAAATTTAGTTTTTCTCTAAAATTCAGTCCCTGTAGAATGTTATGGCCTGTTGAATTGTTTCTCGGAAAATCGTCATAAATCCTCAAATCTGACATTTTTTTAAAAGAAACATATACTTTGATGTAGCTGAAAGTCTGCAAATTTTTATCAATTGATCGGTTTTTCTGAATAATTATGA